CTCTTTATTTTGCAGTGTTCCTTTCTCCCTGGAACATCTCTGGTGGGGAGTGGCCAGGGATCGGCGTCCACAGGCCGGGGCTCAGCCTTCAGTGTCTATGGGGCCTGGAGCGGTAACTGTGGCTATGGAGCTGTCACCTAGGTAACCGACATTCCGCCAGCGAAACAGTCTGTCCACAGCAGGAGGAAATAAAAAATGAAACTGCAGCGTCAATTCTTTATGCACTACAGTTTTTTGAATGTTACTTGATTTTGGAAAAAAGACTGTTTCACTTCTCCATTAGAGTTTGGCTTCTGTGCCCAAGTGTGACCCTCATGTTTCCTGAACCCCATGTGTCTGTTTTTACAGTGTCTTTTAATGAAAGCTGTAATACGGACACATTCACTTTTTATTCCTGAATGACTCTGAGGAGGACTGCCTTTCATATAAGTTTTTGTGAATAACTGGTAAGGCAGACAGATCCTGCAACTTACTTGGTTAGGTTTGCGAGTGTTCATGTTTTTAATGTTTTTAAATGTCCCTTCCCGTGGGGGTGTTTTTCCATTTGATGTGCTCTATTTCCTTAGTAACTGTTGCTCTGTTATGGGAGGGACTTAATGACATTTTTTCAAGTGCAATATTGAATTAATTTATTTCCTGTTTAGTCCTGCCCATCTTCCCAGTATAAATAGAACCTCCGTGTGTGTGTGTGTGTGTGTGTGTGTGTGTGTGTGTGTGTGTGTAGAATGACGACCATGTGCTTGCTGCCTTGGGGGGGCTCTTGACTGTGACCTTGAGTCTGGGTAAGTTGCCTCTTCCTGTATTCCCCTCTCTCTTTCTCTCTTGATATAGGGCACTTGGGTTTAGGGAGCTTCCTGGGCCTCAGGAGTAGCATGGGAAGCAGTGCCTTCAGGGCAAGAGGCCCAGAGTCAACCCTGCTCTCCTGCTGCCAGTGCTGGGCACAGTTCTTGAGCCTCTGTGGGCCAGTGCTTGCTCTCTCTCTGTAGCCTGAGGACATTTAAGTCAATGACCTCTAAAGGCCTTTACTAGATAGGAATTTCTGGGAAGTCTGAGTGCAGAGGGATCATTATTTGTAATCACCATCTCTACTCTTCTAGTGGGTTGGTAGGAAAACCAGACCAGAGGGTCCCAGCCAAGCAGGCTGAGGAGTAGCATCTTACCTGGGAAATGCCCCTTGCCAGGCACAGCTGGAGGTGGGGTTGTGTAGGTGTTTGCTGAGCCTTCTCTGTGCTGGGTATATTACTCAGGGAAGCTTCACACAAATACCTTCCTTCACTCATGTGTTCGCTCAGGAAACATATATTTACCGTGCACCTGCTGGGTGCCAGCAGGAACTGGAGGATCTGCTGGCTGCTGCCTTTGCCCTCATGGCATTTGTGGGGGAGACAGGCAGGTGTGGCACAGTCAGGACACTGGCATGGAGTTGGAACTGCAAATATGTTGGGAAGCTGACTAGGTGCTGTGGGTTGTGTAGCAGGGTCTGGACTTAGGCTGGGGGCTATCAAAGAAGCATCTCCAAGGAGAGTTCTTTGGGCTGAGACTGGAAGGCTGAGTGGCAACTCACAAGCAGGAGGCCCATGAGAGCAGAAGATTGTAGGGATGGCCCGCAGGCAGTGTTTGTTCAGCTTCTCCAACTTTCACACTTCCATGTGTTTGTTCCACAGATGCCCAGCGTGACCGTGCAGGTTGCTGGTTGGTTTGAAAACTAAAAGCACATGTCTGGTTTAGAACAGGGCCTGCAGACTTCTGCTGACCATGCTGGCCCTCGGAGTTTTCTCTGTCCTGATTACCCGCCCGGCCCTGCCTGTTGGTCACCTGACAGGCACTTATCGAGTGCTGCTGGGTTCTGGCTGCTTTAGGATGGTCACAGTCTTTCACTGAGCAGAATGAAGCCTGAACCTCTGCTGCATATTCCTAGAAAGGATAGCTAATCTGTATGCTAGCAGTGAGGAAGAAGACTTTTTACAGCATTTATAATTGTATTTTACCTTGAAAATTGCATTGGGGGAGACTCAGAGTATATATAGGAATAGGCACGTATTCACTGATGAGGTAACACAACTGTGTCTGTCCTGCTTTTGTTGGGAACCACACACATCATTGTCCTAAAAATCCTGGCCATGTTAACACTTAGACCTCACGGGAACTGTTTGTTACACACCTGTTCCCAGCCTCTCTTTTAGGAGTCCTAAGGCTAAGGATTGGTGAAGGTGAAGTTGGTTGTTTCCTCTATTTTGATCCACATTGGCCTCAGTCTTCCTCACAGCCATTTGACATGTGGGATGTATGATAACTTTATTTTTCTAATTACTTTTTTTGACAAATAATAATTGCATATACGTGGGGTACCATGTAATGTTTTGGTGTATGCATGCATGGCAGAAAGATTCAATTCAAATGAATTAATATATTCATCACCTCACCAACATCATTTTCTGTGGTAAGAATGTTTAAAATCTATTATTTTAGCAATGTTGAAGTGTGTGATACATTTTTATTAACCGTGGTCACCATGCAATGCAGAATATCACTAAAACTTACTTCTTCAATCCAACAGAAACTTTGGTACCTTTGATCAACATTTTCCTTTTCCCCATCCCTCTTCTGCCTGCCTCTGGTAATCTCCTTTCTACCCTCCTTCTGTGAGATTGACTCTTTCAGATTCCACATAAAAGTGAGATCATGTAGCATTTGTCTTTCAGTTCCGGGCTTATTTCATTTGGCATAATGTCCTCCTGTGTCATCCATGTTGTTGCAAATGACATAGTTTCCTTCTTTTTAAAAATTGTATAGTACTCCACTGTGTATGTATACCACATTTTCTTTATGTGTTCATCCACTGAAGGACACTTAGGGTACTTCCATATCTTGGTTACTGTGAATAGTGCTGAAATGAACATGGGAGTATAGATATATTTTTGACATACCTATTTCAATTCCCTTGGCTATAGGTATGTCAGAATACCTTCCCTTCCCAGTGGGATTGTTGGATCATATGGTGGTTCTATTTTTAGTGTTTGGAGGAACCTCCATACTGTTTTCCAAATTGGCTGTACCAATCTCCATTCCCACCAACAGCTACACGGGTTCCCTTTTCTCTGCGTCCTTGCCAATACTTCTCATCTTTTGTCTTTGATAATGGCCATTTAATGGGTGTGAGATGTTATCTCATTGTGGCTTTAATTTGTATTTCCCTGATGCTTAGAGATGTTGAGCATTTTTTAATATATCGGTCAGCCATTTGTATATCTTCTTTTGAGAAATGTCTTTTTGGGTCATTGCCCATTTTAAAAATTGGGTTGTTTTCTTGTTACTGAGTTGTTTGAGTTACTTATATATTTTGGATATTAGGCCCTTATCAGATGTATGGTTTGCAAATACTTTCTCCCAATCCGTTGGTTGTCTCTTCATTCTGTTGATCGTTTCCTTATGATAACAATGATTTTTTAAAAAGTGAGGTAGCATAACTTCTACAGTGAAACAAATAGACAAAAATCCCACAATAAAACTACAGCGAAAACCTCTCCACAGTTCAGTTTTCTTTCTGAGTTTAGAGAACGGGAACAAATAAAGTCTAGCATATTTGCACACAAGCATCATAGAAAAGGGCAGAGAAAAATCAAAGTTTTAGGGCAGGTGGACTTTTGTTTTCATCTGGCAGAGGAAATTCCACTTCCCAAAGTTCATGATGCTAATGCAACTAGGTTTCTTCAGAAGTTCCTGTAGGACCTGCATGCTGGCCATTTTTAGGTGGAATGTTAGAATTCAGAGAAAAAAATGTTTTCTCACATTTTTACACACTTCAAAGCCATCGTTTACACAGATAATTTTTTTTAATTGAAATTTTACATATTCTTTAAACTTGAGGACTCCTACTGGGCCATACCTTATTAACTTAGAACGTTACTATAGATACATGAAGGTAATAGAATTGAATGTCTTAGTATCATTAAAGTACTTCGTTAATTTATAAGGTACTCCTTATAATTAGTATTTATTAGTGATGTGTTACTTCACTACCTTCTGTTTATATTTACAGCAACATGCAGTTAACAGAGGGCTCCTTTCTGTTCTGTGGTCTGTTCTCTTAAGTTCTTTTTCTTTATTTCAATGGTGAAAAAGAATAACCAATTTCTAAAAATCGGTTATAAATTGATTAGGATGAAGTGATAATAGAAAAGAAGTCTCTTTTCCTAAATGTTGGAGATTGATATTCAGGATTCTGTTTTAAAAGTCTGATTCTTTGGGCTTCTGACATTCTTCTTGTTAGTATTGCTTTATGTTTAATCGAATGAACATTAAAAATCTGAGAAACATTTGCAAAATGCTTTTATTATTATGTAACATATGGAGCAGTTTATAGATTAAATTTGCTCTTCCTTCCAATTCTCTTTAAAAAGTTAATGTAGGCATTTGTTTTTCTCCTTAAGAATGAATTTTTAGGCTAGGCAATGTGGCTCATGCCTATAATCCTAGCACTTTGGGAAGCTGAGCACATTGGGAGGATTATATGAGGCCAGGAGTTTGAGGCCAGCCTGGCAGCTTAGTGAAACCCTGTCTCAAAATAAATAAATAAATAAATAAATAAATAAATAAATAAATAAATAAAATAATAAAGAGAATCCCTTTTAAAAACTGCTTCATGCAAGTCCTGAATTTTCTTCCTGGAGTGCTGACCACAATGGCCATCTACCACAGACCTCAGTCTAAGGCCTTGGGAACCCAGCTTGGGAAATGGGTTTTTTTCCCCAGGGTGTCTGTGAGGGCAGAATGGCCCAGGAAGGACATTTGACCCTTGGGTCCAGCACAGCTGTGGCCTTGCGGGGGCGGGGGGCAGATGGAGCTCCTCTGACCCTCACAGCCCCTTCAGGCGCCTCCATGTCCACAGTGGGGTCGTAGAGGCAGCTCTGGCCACTTTTCCTTTCTGGCCTTTGTAAGCCTGTTAATTGTAATGCTTCTGCCAGTCATCAGGAAAGTGACCTCTTGCTTTTCAATTTCAGAGGCGGAGCACAGAGAACCACAGCTGGGACCACGAGCTCCTGTGTGCAGGTACGACCCTGCAGGATGCTGGCAGTGGCTTGGCCTGGGGCGCCTATTCTCTGAGGGCCTGAGGGCCAGCCCCTCCACCCACGCCATGGCCTCTGCGCCCTGGCTGGACGGTTGACTGGAGCGGGGACGCTGCCCAGGTGCCACACCCAGGTACTGCCGCCTGCGCTGGAGCTGGGCTGGTGGGCCGCGGATGCTCCCAGAGGCCGGCCCAGCAGCGCGATGCACTTGGACAGGCTAAGATGGAAGTGACCTGAGCCTCGCCCGGTGGCTTCCTCGACGGGACAGCACAAGAGTCGCAGCACAGGCTTGTCTGGGGAGCAGTATGCCGGAAGCTGGTTTTCAGGCCACAAATGCTTTCACAGGTGAGCATGCCCCAGGTAATCAGAGGCTTCACCTCCACTCCTGGCAGGTAATAAACTCCCAAACCACGGCACGGGGTGAACTTACCTTTGCAGTCAGGAACTGAAGGTCAGTGCAGTCAAGGGCTCAGGCTGCTGTGGTGACTGATTTTGACAAAATAATAATATGTTTTCCTTCTCACCCAATAAGAGTTTGGAAAAGTGTTTGACACTTTTTGCTTCTGTTTGTGTTGAATGATAGGATACACATAATATCCTGCAGTATTCACAGCGTCTTCCAAGTCTCTGTTCTCTAAGGAAATATGTCACTTGCTGAGCGAGGGCAGGGGAAGTATGGTTTGTTCTTTATAGAACTGGGAAGATTCTCCCAGGGAAAAGATTAATTGCCGATGTGTGCTTGATTTCTCCCCATCTTTAATTTATCAGATTTATTTGTGTACTTGGGGCAGCTGGGAAGAACTCACTTTGCAGTGAGCCGGGAGAAGCAGGACACTCCAGTGTGCTGGTGATTTGGCCCTGGCTGGCCGTGAGCGGGGAGGAGTGGGACATGCCAGTGTGCTGGTGATTTGGGCCTGGCTGGCAGTTTGCATATTTTTCAGGGAACCACACAGTCTGGCTGGTTCCCAGAGCCCTCACACGAGACACAGGGGCTTTTGAATTTGGATCCTGGCTGTTTCTCTGATTCACATAACATCCCAGGAAGCCACTTAATCCTCTGGGCCTCTGTCTCCTCGTAGACAGACGGGGCTCTGTGACATTGAGGAACCTCATGAAATTCAGAGAGAACATGTTTACATAAAAAGATTTTGAGGGGTTTGCTTTTTATTTACAAGGAAAGATGGTAGAAATAGTCACAAGACGTGACCCTATTCTCTGGTTCCGTGAGTCCCAAAAGTTTGCAGCTTTTCAGATTTTATGGAGGGAGCAGATCAGGCTGTTGGGATGCCTAGAGAGAGGGGCAGGGACTCAGGCTCAATTGGCATGGGCCTTCTGCTTGGATTAGATGTCAGCTCCGAGACAGCCTTGCACTTCTCCACACTCCCTGTGGCTCCGGTATGAAGGGAGATACTGCACGGCACTGTGGTGCTGCTCCAAGAAAGAAAGGGGACAGTTCTTCCCATCCTTGCTGCTTCTGTGCACACCTGCAGCCAACCTCCTTTGGCTGCTTGTACCATATCTGTGACATGGGGTCTCAGTGACGGTGCCTTCCCCGAGTCATGCAGGGTGGGTCAGGGCCCATGCTCGTGAGCGTGGCGGCAGTATAGATGCCTCCCTCTGGATTTTGGGGGCCTGGTTACTCTATGGTCCATGTGGATGAGCTCCGCGGCTGTGTAGAAGCCTTCCTCCCAGGTTCTGGGGTGCAGGTCATGGCCCTTGTGGATGAGCTCATCAGCTATATTGACAGGGTCGGGGAGCATGTGCAAAGCAAAGCTCTCTAGAACCATCTTTATACTTGCAGCCCAGCTGGCTGGAAACCCTGCCCTTTTGCATCCCTTACCTTGTGTGCTTCAGCTGTTTCTGTCTCAGGAGCAACTCCCTTGTGGATACCCCTACCCTCCAGGCGGGGGGTGGGCAGCAGAAGCAACTGAGAAGTGGCCGGTTGTGTACTCAGCCTCCTTGTCCCTCTTCCCCACACCCCAGGAGGCAGCTGGGGAGGAGCAGCACCAGGAGATGACATAAAGAAGCTCTTCAGAATAGTTCTAGGAGGAAGAGGAAACAAGAAAAGGAAATGGCATTGGACAAAAAGAGCCCGAGGAAGAGTGGCACACTCTCTTAGATAGTTCTCCTGTCCATGGACCTGACTGCAGGGTGAAGACCATAGGTGTGGCCCGCAGAGGCCAGGGTTCTGGGGCCGTCTCCCCAACCTGCTGCACCTAATGCTGGTCCACATGGTTCCCACTGAGGTAGCCATGCTGTCCTCACACTCTGGGGTGCTGGGGGTTCCTCTGCCCCAAGGGAAAGGGAAGGGCCAAACTGAGGCTCTGTTTAGAATACTCAGAATCCTGTGGTTCTGCCTGGAGGATTCTTGCAGGAAGGACAGTGCCTCTCACATATTAAGCCAAGGTACATGGCAGCTGTTACCCCTAGGGCTGTGTCACCCCACCTTCCTCCCCACTTGTCACAGCCACCCACTTGTAGCTCCACCCCAGCTCACGTTTTTGTTTTATTTGTAATTTACGAATAATAGTTATATATATTAGTAGGTTCTAGTGAGATGTTTTAATACATGTATATGCTGTGGAGTGAACAAGTCAGGCTAATTGGCTCTGCTCATCACTGCACATTTTATCATTTCTTTTTGCTGAGAATACTTTGGCTTCTCTCTTTCAGCTCACATTTATGAGTTTCCCAACAATCTGTTTTCTTATTTTGGCCTCTTCCCTGCTGTGCCAGCCTGGCTGAGTAACAGGTGTGCTGGTGGCAATGGTGGGGTGTTGGCCATGGCCACCATTTTGGAGCCACAGTGTGCCAGGCACTGTGTTCCTGCCGTGTGTCCTTTGCTGGTCCTCACAGCAACTCCGAGGCCAGTGCCATCACGCTGGCCTTGCTCCCTGAGGGAACACTTGGTGCAGGTGGGAACTGGCTGGTGCCAGTGGCCTCTCCAGATTGTCTCACAGCGTGGCTTCAGGCACACACGGGGTTCCCTGGGGAGCTTCCCTGCCACCTGCTCTCACCCTCAGAGACTGAGTTTTAATTGGTCTTGGCATCACCTAGACCTGCTAAATCAGGACCCTCATCCTCACAAGACCCCAGGTGCTCAGCTCATGTTAAAGTCTGGGAAGCACTGGGAGCCAGCACTCAGCAGAGCAGGGTTTAGAGAGAGGCCAGGGTGCTCAAGGGGGTCACGTCTCAAAAAAAAAAATCAACTGACTTGTGCCGTTCCTTCATTGGGGGGATCGAAATAATGGGTCTGCTCATTCTCAAGAGACTATCACATGTTGAAGTGTTTATACTGTTGGGTGTGCAAGCACCTCCACGGTGGCAGTTTTAGCTTCCCCATCTCTAGGAAGTAACTAGCAGTGAAATAAGGAGACGTGAGTGCCTGGTCTTCTCTGGAGCTGAGTCCCTGTAGACTAGGCTCGTCATTTTTATTCTTGGTCTCCTTCCCATCTGTTTGCCCACTTAGTTTGCAAGATTCCCCGTGATATAGGATGAAGGGGCTGACACGCCCTGCCTGCCCGGGCAGCTGGCTGAAACTTTAGCTTCAGAAGGAGGTGAACAGGAGCCTGGTGCCCAGCCCACAGCCTTAGTTGGGTTGCTGTTCTTACGATTTTGGATTTTGCTGATTGTCTGGGCTAATGGAAAGGAGTCTTACCTTAGATAACCTAAATGGTGAAGGCATTGAGGCATCTTCCCTAGGCTTTAAATCTTGTTTTGGGGCCAGACAAACGTCACTGTGCAGTTTACCCTGTATCCACTAAAAGAAATTTGTCACTTTATGTTCCAATTCTCTTGGAGGGTGGAGGCTGAGAATTCCCCTTTAAGAGGGTTTGGGGTGGCACTCTGGCTGCGGAGGAGAGCTGGGAGACCTGCTGTGAAGCTGCGTTTGTTTAGAGCATGTGAAAGTACCACGAGGGTGGTGGGAACTTGGGAGGCCCCTGTCCCTGTGCCATGCTAACAAGCCTGTGGTGGAGTTCAAACTGACCTCTTGCCTCCTGGGTGAGTGTGGGTATACTCACATAGATGCATATTGCACATTTAACTTCTTAATTATGCTCTTAGGTGAATCCTTGCATACAAGAACTGATGTTATTTTAAAGTTTCTCAGCATATCCAATTTAGAAATGATTTTAGTCATTTAGATACTATTTTATATCAAAAATTAATTTTTTCCTTTTACAAGTAACATCTGCTCATTATAAGCAAACTTGGAAAGCACAAGAGTCAAAAGAAGAGAAATAATCTTCCACATGCATCCTTGCCATGTGAATCTTTCTTTGGGTAACATTTTGGCTTACATCCTTCCAGTCTTCTTCAGTGAATTTCTTCCTACAGAACTCTGTTCTAATGTATATTCAATATTGTAACCTGATCATTCCCATTTTATATTACATTATGAGCATTTTTCTTATAAATATGACTTTAAATTGCTGCATATTTTTATGTACATGTACTTGAATTTTAAAATTGTGTACCTATTGTTGGATAGTGCAGTTTTTGACAGTTTTCACCCTTATGAATAACGTTTTGATGAACACCTTTGTGCATAAAAGCTCTTCTGTATTTTTTATTATTTCCTTCAGATAAACTCCCCAAGGCGGAATTATTGGGTCCAAAGATGTGAATTCTGTTAAAGCTTGTAATTGAATTTCCAAAGGGATTGGTTTATCCTAACTTTTGAGGCTGCACTGTCCTCCGTGGTTCAGCTGTGCGTGGAGTGGCCCTCACCTGCCTCACAGGGCATTTGTGAAGCTCTTTGCAGCATGCTGCTCTAAGGGCTGCCTGAGCACCATGTGTTGTGTGGAGCACCCTCATGTTACCCTTGAGCACTTAAAAATGCAGGTGTCTTCAACTTACTGTTTTTGTGCTTCCAGGCCTTCTTTCTGCCTGGCCGTCATTCACTGAGGCAATGATATAGGTGAATGGACTCCTGAAAGATAAGACTCTGTCTGTCCTGAAAACAAACCCCCAGTTCCTCTGAGCAGAGGGAAGTAGAGACCCTTCTAGGCTGGGTCTGCCAGGCTCCATTCCAGGTGCCCTAATAGCGGGGGAGATTTCACCTGAGTTTTCTTGTGCTTTCAACCGACTTGGAACGCATCCTGCCTGGGTACCACCGCCTACATCCTACAGAGGTTACTGGCTTGAGATTCTGCCTCTTCCCTGCCCATGGTACCACCCTTAGATACTGCAAAGGTCTTGCACAATTAATTTTCTTAGTATTTTAAAATCATTTCAATGTTAGAGAAAAAACATTTAGCCTCAAATAACTAGGTAAGTGAACCAAATTCCTGTAGAATTTACAGCTAGTCTTTATGGTGAAAGGAGAATCAGATCTAATTGTT